GCTGCTACTTCAATCATGAAACTGCTTAATGATCAGCTGATCGGCTTTTCTGTTGGGAGTCCGTGTCTCTTGTTTGCTTTTGGCCCACTTTGTACCAGAAAGAGGAAACCAGCGGCTGAACAACAGCAGCACGTTTAAGCTTGATAAGCTGTTGTTAGAATTTATTTAATATTACTTTCTACACCAGGATCTTTTTCTACGTAGCTGATGCTGGTAGCTGTGCAGGGGCGGATCTAGCAAAGTTTAGCCAGGGGGGCCGATAGGGCATTAACAGGGAAAAGGGGGCACAAAGACATACTTTTCTTTCTTATTCTCATTTAAAATGTCTAGCTTTTAATAAATAATTATCTGACACCCAAAGTTTTAATTTGATGTAAAATGAATAGAAGTCAATTACTGTATTTAGTAACTATTAAGTCTAATATACTCTAGTAAGCTATAGTACTTTTTCCTTTGGGAAGGTACCATCTGTGCAGTCTGCAATTTTGTTGAAGAAAGATGTTGAATCTATTTAATATTTCTTGAAAAATAATTGATTTCTGTGCATTTTTTCACACTGCATCAAATTAAGGTTGATTACGTCGATTAAGCATCATGAGGTGGAGCGTGAGGGGTGGTTCCCTATTTTTTCTTTATTTATTTTTGTTGTTGCTGGGAGTTGGAACCCTATTAGTTAGGTTGCTTAATATTTACGCTAAGTACTCTTTAAAATACCAGAATAGGGAGGATGGTGTAGGTTTGAGTTTATTAGATTGATCAGTATTGCTGAACCATGAAATATTTTTTTTGCATACAGGTATAACAGAATAGCTTTAGTGTAGTTGTTGTTTTAAACTTGAGTATGAACTTATACAAAATGCAGCAAGATATAAAAAACAGTTTTGTTGATTAAAAAACACTATATCGGATTCATATCGGTATCGGCAGATATCCAAATTTATGATATCGGTATCAGACATAAAAAAGTGGTATCGTGCCATCTCTAGTTGAGACATCAGATCTTTTATCCTTGAAATATTCTTGAGGTGATAGTAAGCTGATTTTGTTATTGTCTTAATGTGTTTTTCTAAGTTTAGGTCTGCATCCATCACTACACCCAAATTTCTCGCCTGGTTTGTGGTTTTTAGGTGTATAGATGGAAGTTCTCTGGTGACCTGTAATTGTTTTTCTTTGGCACCAAAAACTATTACTTCAGTTTTGTTTTTGTTTACCTGGAGAAAATTGTGGCACAACCAGTCATTAATTTCCTCAAAGCATTTACCAAGAGCCTGTACAGGGCCTCAGTCTCCTGGTGACATTGTGATATATATTTGTGTGTCATCTGCATAGCTGTGATAGTTTATTTTGTTGTTCTTTATAATGTCTGTATTCAGACATATGTCATTAAACACTTTGGTCAGAGCGGTTTCAGTGCTGTGGTTCTGTCTAAAACCTGACTGGAAGGCATCATAGCAGTTATTCTGTTTTAAGAAGTAACTGAGCTGTTGAGAAACTGCTTTTTCAATGATCTTACTTAAAAATGGGAGATTTGAGATCAGCCTGTAGTTGTTCATTTGTGTCTTGTCAAGATTGTCCTTTTTCAGCATAGGTTTGATTACAGCAGTTTTTAGTGGTTCTGGAAACACACCTGACATTAAAGAAAAGTTGACGATCTGTAACAGGTCTGACTCCAAAGTCTTTGAGACCTTTTTGAAAAAACTTGTTGGCAGGACATCTAAACAGCAGGAGGAGGAGTTCAGTTAACTTAAGATGTCCTCCAGGTCTTTGCTGTTAATAGGGTGAAACTGTTTCATGGTGTTTAAACAGTTTTTCGGTGGACACAGTACATATCCTGGATCTGCTGTTGATGTACCAATTGCTTGTCTAATCTTTTGGATTTTTTCTGTGTAGAATTTGGCAAAGTCATTGCAGGCCATGGTTGAATGAAGTTCAGCTGCCACTGACACAGGGGGGTTTGTTAGCCTGTCAACTGTAGAAAATAAGACCCGAGCGTTATGACTGTTTTTAGTGATGATGTCAGAGAAGTAGGACCTCCTTGCACTCCTCAGTTGTAAATTATAATTGTGAAGTTTCTCTTTATAGATGTCATAATGAACCTGGAGGATTGTTTTTCTCCATCTGCGCTCAGCTTTCCTACACTCTCTTTTTTCATTTTTCTCCATGGAGACTTTTTCCTTCCAGAGATAACCTTCACCTTAATGGGAGCAATAGTGTCCATTACATTTAACATTTTAGCATTGAAGCTATTGACGAGCTCATTGATATACACAGGTGATTTTTTTAAAGAAAAAAAGGATCTCTAATTTAAATACAGCTTATGTTGCACCATAACTATTATTATTAGGTTTTAAGCAGGTATATACTATAACACCTGTATCAACATCTTACCATGAATGTGAGATTGTGGACTGCCTGAATTAGCACAATGACTGCAAACTGTTGTGCTTTCATTAACCATAATTGATGATATATCTTCAAATCCAGGACATTTGCTGCTCAAGTGAGGACAAAGAGGTGCTGTACTCTGCCAAGACAGGGTTTAGCTGCTGTGGTCACCTCTACTATAACACCAGCCTGTGGTCATGCTGTGCCGGGAGGCTGAGATCAATCCATGAAGCAGGACAGGATCAGAGAAAGATGATAAAAGGTCTGTTTAGATGTTACACATTCTCTCTTACAAAGTAGGACTTAATTTTATGTCAATTTATCTTGATTGCACAACCTAGAGATCTCACTTTACCAATAATATGTCTATAATGTTCTTTGTTTTTCAGAATCCAGAGTTCTATCTGTGAATAATTTGAATAAAGCTAATCTTTGCAGAGGTATTATAAAAACATATTGGTAAAAAAAATGATATTTATGAATTGATATGAATTTGTAGTGTAATATATTTGTGTATCTTTCTCCTTAGTGTACATTGGGGCTGTGGAAAGTGTCTCTCTGCAGAGCGTTGTGTTCAGGAATGTTTTGAAGGTCTATGGGATGCAGGCCAAAGTGAAAGCTCTGCCTTTGCCCTACGTCCTGGAAACAAATGATCGCTGTAGCTATCCTAAACTGATTCCTGGGAAGACCTACTTCTTTAACAAAGACAATATTTTCACTGGTTTCATCGATGATTCTTTTCTGCAGCCACTCCATTTCATTATTTCCAAGTGTTCACCTAGGATCACCACTCACCGAAAATCAACCAATATGCCTTTTGCATACTGAGCACTCACACTAAAGCTGAGTGTATGCTGACACCAGCCCAGCAGCTAGACCCTGAACTTCAAAATGTAACAAAGGCAATAATGAACAGATAGGCTGGTAGCATTATAACCTTCACTTCTAAATGTACATGTTTCTAAAACAGATATATTGTGGGGATTACTTTGTCTTTGAGATGGTTTTTAATGTTGCTCTCTGTAGCTTAAGATTCAAATCTAATTTTCAATATAAGGACTGTTTTTAATACTTTATGGAATCCTTAAAATGTCAATCTTTTCAGGACTGTGTGAACTCTTTGGGACTTGTATATTGGACAATTGATAGGCATGCAGCTTTATGGCCAAATGAAGCCTGTTTCCTCATTGTTGCAAACAAAGCAGATAAATGATCTTGAGTTTATTCTATGTGTTGAATGTGGCTTTGATAGATTTACAGTGGAGCTCTCAATGTAAATCTATCAAACAGTGAACTTTCTTTTTAATATTCTGCTTTTTAAGCAGCCTTTAATGTATGCACCACAGAATAACTGTGGTGCATAAAGTAGATATTTGAAGCAATATTGATGCAACAGAGTTCAGTGGGGAGTCAATCTTTCATTGTGTGAATTTATAGATGAAAATTATGTGTAAAATGAAAATTAAACCAGCTTCATCTCAAAGAATAAATGAATTAACTTCCTATCGTGTTCACTATCTTCTATATTTGTTACTGACTGTAGTCACTTCATGATATAACCACACTTTGACTAGTTGACACAGAAGATAAAGTTAACCTTTCCCAAGACCAGACATTGGCTATATCATATGACTCATTAAACTCATTAAGTTAGGACATTATAAAGGATAACTATTAAAGGTGCCACTAAAAGTCAAAAGATAGCCATAAACAGGAGGATATAGTGGATCAGTATATTTATATGTAAAATGGTCAATTTAATAGTTGCTCAGCCAGTCCACTCTGATCTAAAGTGGTGAATTGGCTACTGAAAGACCAGCATTACTCTTAGTTACTTATAGCTTGATCCTGCATGGATAGCTTCAGACTAATTTGGCCTACGTCAGGCCCCTAAATTGTACCTAGTTATATTCCAAGTCCATTGGGAGTTGCTGTAACAGGTGTGGTGATTAGATACCTGGCCTGCAAGTATGCTCAGGCCCCAGTTTTTGCCAGAGTAGGTGGACATTCTTGGAGAGAGAGGTAGGACCAGGCGAGTCCTTTCATTCACTAGCTTAATCTGAACCCTGGATCGCCTGCTGGGTAATACTTGTAGATCAGAGATTAGGGCTTTTTAAACAGAGAGCTGATTCCCACTTCCTGTATTGGGGTGCTGGTTCTGACAATCCACAAGATGATCTCCTATGGCAACTACTAAAACAAAGAGGATTAGCAACTATTTTCACATTTTAGTTAGAAATGCATGAAAAGGCAAATTCATTTTTAAACTTTTTGTAATGCAGTTTTCTGGATTTTTAATTTTTTAATTTTTATTTTTTGTTATTGTTGTGTCATCTCTGTCAACCTACTATTGAAATGATAGAATGATCATTTCTTTGTTAGTGGGCAAACTTTCCTTGACTGTAAGATTTTACGTTCAAAATTACACAAAACCAGACAGGAAAAAAAGTCAAAAACATCAACATCCAAGCAAGAAAAAAAAACAAAACAAAACACAGCTTAGTCAGTCTAAATCACAGGTGTCGAACTCCAGGCCTCGAGGGCTGGTGTCCTGCAGGTTTTAGATGTAACCTTGATACAAGACAGCTGATTTAAAGGCTAAATTACCTCCTCAACATGTCTTGAAGTTCTCCAGAGGCCTGGTAATGAACTAAT